GGTAATCACAAACGAAAATGGCAAGAAAAGCACAGACAAGACAAAAACTGCATGCAAACATTATAAAAGACTGATAACATACACAAATAGCACAACGAACATACTTCAGTATGTCCAGCTTAATTCACCACCGTCAGAGCAACGATTATTAAAAGGGCAAATCACGCTAAAAAGCTGCACATGCAAGCCTTAGTTTATTTGGTAACACTTTATATTCAGTGCACCTTCATAATGCATTCATAGAACATTCAGTGCACCTTCATAATGCATTCATAGAACATTCAGTGCACCTTCATAATGCATTCATAGAACATTCATAGGCAGCATGCAAGTACACCTTAACATCCTAACATCCCCTAACAGCTTTAATATACATTAATAACAAAAAAATACATGATTATACAATTAAACAAAATATTTGTTATTATATCATGTTTGTTATAAATGTATATTACAGCTGCTAAGGGATGATAGGATGTAAAGGTATACATACATGATGTTTATGAATGATTTCTGAATATTTAATGAATACATTATGTAGGTGTGCTGAACGTTTTATGCATGCAATATAAAAGCATTATGAAGGTGCAGTAAATGTAAAGCGTTACCGTTTATTTACAGTATTTGAAGATTTTTTTATCTATTTTGATTTGGGATTTTTTGAAGTCCCGTTTCCCTCGCCCAGACTAGTGTAACCAGGGACCCACCCTGGAGCCAGGCCTGGGGGAGGGGCCCGTTGGCAAGCCCCTGGTGGCCGGGCCTTGGCCCGTGTGGCCCGGCCGGGCACAGCCCGAAAGAGGCACGCGGGACTGTCCCCAGGTGGGCCCACCACCCGACAGGGGAATGTCAGGGGTTCGGTGCTTTGTGGATCGGGTGGTGGCCAAGGGAGGCCCTGGCGGTCCGATCCCTGGCTGACAAAACTGGCTTTCGGGACATGGAATGTCACCTCTCTGGTGGGGAAGGGGCCTGAGCTTGTTCGTGAGGTTGAGAGGTATCGACTATATACACTCACCTAAAGGATTATTAGGAACACCTGTTCAATTTCTCATTAATGCAATTATCTAATCCACCAATCACATGGCAGTTGCTTCAATGCATTTAGGGGTGTGGTCCTGGTCAAGACAATCTCCTGAACTCCAAACTCAATGTCAGAATGGGAAAGAGGTGATTTAAGCAATTTTGAGCGTGGCATGGTTGTTGGTGCCAGACGGGCCGGTTACTGGGATTTTCATGCACAACCATTTCTAGGGTT